AAGGAGGAGGACCTAACACAAAACGTACCCTGGCGTCCCTCAGAATGTTGCGCGGGTCGTGCACTGCAATCCACCCCACCCACCAGCCCGGCACCAGGAAGCGCTTCGACAGCGAGCTGACTGTCAGAATCGGCACACTGCCCGCTGCTGCTGCCAATGCTGCTGCCGCCGCTGTAGGATATGCTCACAACTTACCTTAAATCAAATCAGCGCAAGACTTACCCTAGCGTCCCTCAGAATGTTGCGAGGGTCGTGCACTGCAATCCACCCCACCCGCCATCCCGGCACCAGGAAGCGCTTTGAGAGGGAGCTGACAGTCAGTATCGGCACACTGCCTGCTGCTGCTGCTACTGCTGCTGCTACAGGAGCTGCTTTCTTCTGCACGGCTTCATGTGTTAACTCTCCGCTAACAACATGCCCATTTCCCACATGCACCCCGTTACCAACCACCTCATTGCTGCCCGCTGCTGCTGCAGGCGAGTTAGCAGCGTGGTCGGCATGGGATTGTTGGGGTTGTTGTGGATGCTGCAGGGTTAGCTGCACGGCAGCAGCACGCAGAGGGATGAAGGGCGTAGCTTCCTGGAAGGCGATGCCCTCGTACACCTCGTCGGCTATGATTGGTAGGCGGAGGGCTGCTGCTGTGGTGAGGATCTGAGGGAAAGTAGGGTAGGGGATGAGGAGTGGGGAGGGGACGACGAATGGGTAGGGGATGAGAAGCCTATTTTTGAGGCACCTCAAAAAGCGATGCCCTCGTAGACCTCGTCTGCTATGATTGGTAGACGGAGGACTGCTGCTGTGGTGAGGATCTGAGAGATGTGAGGCATGATGCGGAGTTGGGAGGGGATGACGAGTGAGGGAGAGTGGGACGAAAAGGGGAGGGGGGAGAAGAGGCGGAGAAAGGAGGGGAGGGGATGAAAGGGAGAGGAGGATGAGTGAAGCGAAAGGATAAAAGGCTGAGGGGAAGGGGGATTGTTGGAGGAAAATATAACAAAGGCGAGAATGGTGAGTCATACAGAAGGTGATTCCAAAGAAAGCCCAAAATTTACCTTCACCAGATGGTGCCTGGAGAAAGCTCAGAACTCACCTCCACCAGATGCTTCCGAGAAAAGACCTGCCCGCAGGGATTCCCCGGATTGCACACCAGCATAGCCACCGTGTTCTCATCACGAAGAATTGCGACCTGCCTGAGATCCACCTCCCAGTTCTTCTCGGGCAGCAGGTCGTAAAATCTAGGCTCCAAGCCAGAGTGCAGACACATGCACTCGTAGACCGGAAATCCCGGGCGGGGTAGCAAAATATTTCTGCCCGGATTGGCGAGTGCATCAAGGCACAGTTGAATGGAAGGACCGCAGCCTCCAGTGATGTACACGTCAGCAGCTGAGCATGCTGGCGCGCACCCTGCTGACGTGGCAGGAGGGAGCGTTTCGAGCGCTGTCGTGGAGCAAAATTCAGCCACCGCCCTGTGATGGTGGATAGGCGTGCATGGGAGGATAGGGTAGGGTGGGAATAGGAGGAGAAGAGGCGCGTTGAAGGGGGATTTTCTGCAGCACCTCTTAGTTCCTTAGTAGTTCCTTAGCTCACTTCAGCCTCCGACCAGACTTGTGACGGTGGATGGGCGTGCATGGGAGCATATGGTAGGGTGGGAATAAGAGGCGAAGAGGTGCGTTGAAGGGGGGACTTTCTGCGGCACCTCTTAGTTCCTTAGCTCACTTCAGCCTCCGACTTGTGACAGTGGATGGGCGTGCATGCTAGCATGGGGTTGGGTGGAGAAGAGGGGCGTTGGGGGAAAGATTGAATGGGGAAAGGAGGGAGGGAAGAGGAGAGGGGAGAGGGAAGGGGGGATGGAGAAAAGAGGGAAGGTGTAGTGTCACTTCTTTTTTTTTTCCACGCTTTGTCACCAGCGAAACAACTGAAACTGGGATAACATTCTCCTATGGAAAGGAGATAATTCTTTGCAAGAACTGCCAAAATTCAATAACCCTCACATGCTACACGTCAGCAGCATACCTCCGTGCGTCAGGCAGTCCGTTAGAAGGCGGGTACCCGTTATAGCGACCACTCGCTATAGCGTCCTGCACGGCGCGCACCGCAACATCCGGCAGCTTCAAATGCCCGAACGCCGTCGGATCCCCTTGCCCCAACGAGATCAACGGCTTCGAAGGAGCGACAGGTGCGGCATCAGACGCAGCAGGCGCAGAAGGAGCGGCGAGAACGGCGGCGAGAGAGTCGGTGATCTTGCGGATAGGGTTCTCGATGGACAGCGACTGCCGCGACGCCTCCACAGCCCACGTCAGCGGCATTTCCGCGTCGTCCCAGAGGCTTTTCTCGTCCCAAACGGCCGTCTTTTTCTCGTCCAGCGGAGAAGCCATGGCGCCGGCGTCGGCGTCGCCCTGCGTTGCCGTTGAATCCGACTCAACTGGTGCTAGTTGCGCGAGAGCCGGAGCGCCTCGAGGCGCTTCGGGGCCTGTCTCGGACTGTGGCTTTAAGTCTGACTGAGAGAGCGGCTTCTGAAAAGGCACTTGGGGAGCGCAGGGTGTATCGGGATGGCTGGGGATCATCCCCGTGGTAAACGCTGGTGCCATGTGGCTTTTATATGTTCCGTCCAGATGTTCCGATCGAGGAGACGACATCCACACGGGAAAGGGCGAGGTATTCTCCATCGGAAAGGCAGATCAGACCACGCAAAAAGGCTTTTATATGTTCCTTGAAGGACGCACCCACGTGTCAGGGCCGTTCCAACGCACTTGCGGCAGCTCAAACGCGAAACGAAAGAAAGAATTCAGCTCTCGGAATGAGACGGAAATTCCTAAAGTTCCGTCCAGTGGCCTAAGCAAAACGTGGATAAGCGCCGCGGTTATGGCTCGTCGAAGACGCGTGACAATATAAGGTCACCGCAAGCACACGCCCAGGGCAGGCAGAGCGAAGACAGCTGGGATGGGATGGTGCGACGAGGCAGGGAGGAGAGACAGGGAGGAGCGAAGGAGGGAAGCGAGACCAAAAGCTGACAGCCGGCTAGGCGTGAATGAGTCGCTGCACCGTAACCATGCAGGGCCTGTATCGCCAGTGGCCTTCCATCGTCGGAGGAATGCTGGCGAAACGCGGAACAAGGGACCTTTTGCGCGCGGAACCGAGGAAGCTGCGGGGCCGGCCGAGTCAAAATGCACTGCTGTGAGCGGCTGCAGCTGTCCCCCTAGGCCGCCTACCCTAGTCTTTTGACTGGAACCTCGGGAATGCCGAACAGCTGGAGTCAATCTCCTGTCACCTGTCAGTTTCCTGGGGCTGGGGATTGGCTTCTCTGGTCCGGGGTTTGAGTGGGTGAAGCGGAGGGATGTGCGGCAAGGCGGAGCGGAGCGCACAGGAACTGAGGGTGGGGGGGATTGGTTGCGGGGGCAGTTGGGTCGGGGGCCTTGTGGGGCGCGACGCGCACAACGTAGGGGATGTCGAATTGGGATGTACTGTAGGATGCAACATACCCCGTCATAAATCGTTCTGAAACGTACTAAGCCGTACTGAAACATTGTGTGCGATTGTGTTCACTCGGACAGGGGCATGTGCTGGGCTTGACGGCTCATGACGTGGCGATTAGCGGAATGGTTGACGGTTTGGGTGTTGAGATTTGCGGCGGTTGTCGGAGACGAGACAGCACGGCGGAGGTCACACGTCTCGCTGACGAGGAAGCCACGCCTACGATGCACGAAAGAAGAGGTGCACACCACGTCACCCAAAAGGTCGGTCGAGAAGTATCGTACATGCTTATACGATATAGCATCGTTCTCCTTACATCATATAGTGGTTGCACTTTTCTTTTGTATTTCATATTTCACTTATTCTGAATTAGCTGGTGTAAGCCAGCCAAAGCCGCGGGGTGTCAGAGCTTTGCACCCCCAAAATCTGCAAGTCGCTCAGTCGCGGCTCCGCCAAGACATACTAATCGCGGGAGTGCGTGGGGTGGGGAGGAACCAGTGAATGTGGAAGGCACAATTCAGATTGGGATCCAGCGAACGTCGTCACGGGCTGTTTGGATTTCGATAACATTGGTTACCGGGCTCGCCCAAATCTGATGGGAACTGCGACCCGGGTTCGGCGGTGGTGACCAAAGGTTTCCCGCCAAGTCCAGGCCAGAGCCAACGTACAAATAACAATCCGCCCTGGCAGATTGGCAGAGCTTGTGGTATCAAATACATTTGCAGTTCTAACCTTGTAGCCCCAACTTCCTTCTGTCTGTCTGTCTGTCTGTCTGTCTGTCTAAATGTTGTCTGTAGTCTCTCCCGAAAGCCAAGAATACTTGATTGCTAAGATTCTGGAATCAAGTGGCTCCTCGAGCGTGCTCATTAGTGACCTAATGTATGCCGCGAGTCGCCCCGAAGGATACAAAGTGCTGGTACATATTCCTGTTGCTCCCATGAGGCCCCTATAGGAACCACGCAAGGATAAAGCCTCCTTAGTGAGCTACTTTCTCATTCCGCGATCATTCACGGGCAGAGAACGATTTCTCCAGAATGGGACCTAACCTGGAATCGAATAAGCCCCTTAGGCCCTCACGATCACTACTTAGTAGTCAGCCAAACAGACTCGCGACATTCTTCTCGCGACACGAAGTAGTAGCATACGACAAGCTCGGCGACCCATTGCTCTACAGTCCGACCGCCGTCGGCGACTGTAAAGGCCGTAGTGCTGACCACGTTGACCTCGTTGACCGCATTGACTTGGCAGATCTCCTGCCTCCGTCGAAAAAAGACCCTAGCAGCACTAATAGCAGGTCCGTCTTTAGAGGATCATGCAGACTATGGAACTACGCGACAGCGTGTCTCCTTCTAGTAGCTCTCATCAATCAGTACTTCAGGGTAGCGCATCATCCGCTTATCAAGCAACACGATTTATTTACGGACATTAGGGTTGAAACGACACCAAGCGCTATCAACCAAGCTACGTCCGAGTCGCTTCCGGGTGCAAATCTGGTGACGCGACGCGATGTACTATCCGACATTGGGGTCGAAACCATGGCTGCCGGCCACGCTGTCAACAGGACAATAGAGCGCGGTCTGACGTTTCTCCAGCTCTGGGCTCAAGCTAACGGCGTCAAGCTGTCGCGACTAGCGACCGTTGACGTTGACGGAAACTTGTCCCGAATCGCGTCGGTCAACGTTGACGGAGACGAACGCTCGTCGCTTCCCGCAACGACCACATTCTTCAGTGTTCCGTTTACACTTCCAAATCCGAACATCACGTGGACGGATATCTATCCGGAATGGATAGACGAATCACGGAACTCCTCCTGTCCGGAAATCCCGGAACCAGACTGGTTCGCAGACGACTTCGATCAAGCAGGCGCGGCGAGAGACGGCCAAAGTCCCGTTGGCGAAGTCACTAGTAGTGCAGCGGAGCACTCCCAGAGATCCCCGTTAGTGGCGCGCTCGTTATTGGGGTCGTTCGACGGCGTGGTCGCATCGCTGCCGTGCGAGTCGCAGCCAGCGGATTCATGGGCGAGAGACGTGCGGTGGCACCACCTCATGCTGACGGCTGGCCGGCTGGTTACCAAGGTGGGCGTGCAGTTACATTTATCTACTACTAATAGGAAACAGTGCGTCCCGTCATTCTCATGATCCCTCCTGTAGACAAACAATAAACCTTTCCTCTCACTCCCTCCAATACCCTCCCACCCTACCCCGCACCTTTTCTCCCCATCCCCCACCCTCGCCGACTCCCAGTCCACGTCAGCAATGACGCCAGTTCTACTGTTCACAGAGTGCCGACCGCCGCCGAATCTCTTCCACTGCCGCGATCTGGTGATGCACGAAGGGCCAATCTGGCTCTACCACGTGGCACCTGCCGCCATGCGGGAGCGTCTGCAACCAATCGGATCGTGCCAGCTAGCGCACCCGACGACCTTTGCGGAAAGGGGAACACCGAAAGGGCGGGTCGCAGCGCGGAGAATAGGAGAAGCGCGCGAAGAGGAACTGGCGGGGGGGCGGCGGGAAGCGCGAGGTTCGGCGCGGCAAATACTGGAATCGCGGACACCCCAAGGGACGCCGCGAACGGCAGCGCAATTAGCGGCGCCGCGGGGAGCGCCGCGAGTGGCGTACGCGTCGGTGCTGCACACGACAGAAGACTACGTGTGCGGCGCGATCGTGCTGGCTAGGAGCCTGAGGAAGAGCGGCACGAAGGCGGACCTGGTGCTGCTGGTGTCGCGGGAAATCAGCCGCAAGAGCCGCACGGGACTGAAGAAGGCGGGGTGGCGGCTCAAGGAGATCGAGCGGATTCGTAACCCGCGCGCCGTGCCGAATACTTATAACGAGTGGAACTACAGGTGCGTTTGTGTGGGGGGGAGGAAAGCGGGAGGGAAGGGAGGAAATCAGCCGCAAGAGCCGCACGGGACTGAAGAAGGCGGGATGGCGACTCAAAGAGATCGAGCGGATCCGAAACCCGCGCGCCGTGCCTAACACATACAACGAGTGGAACTACAGGTGCGTATGGGTGAGGGAGGAAAATGAGGGAGAAAGGAGGGGGGAAGGGGGAAGCATGACGAGAGGGAACCCGCGACCCACAAGTCGTGCCCAAGACGTACGAGTGGAATGACAGGTGCATGCAGCAAGGGAGAACGGGGAGAAAGGGTTGAAGACAATGGCGAGGCTTACAGGTGCGTTTGAACGGGGGGATAGAAGGCAAGAGTGAATTCGCAAACCGCACGTCGTGCTGGAGACTTATAACGAATGGAGCTACAGGTGCGAGGACGTGGGGGAGGAGAGTGGCAAGTGTGTTCTTGTAACGAGTGGAAGCACAGGTCAGCGGAATGCAGGTGTAACGATGGCTGGCTACTGTCATCTTTTCTTTGTAATTGACTGCCACCGCAACAGCTACTAACACGTGCGCTTCTTCCCCTTCCCCCCTCCCCATCCCATCTCCCTCCCCCGCTAACCCCCACCAGCAAGCTGCGTCTGTGGCAGCTGGAGGAGTACGACAAGGTCATATTCGTCGACTCAGACATCCTCGTTTTAAAGAACCTCGATTTCCTTTTCAGCTACCCGGAGCTCTCGGCCCGCGCCAACGCGCGCCACCTCTTCAACTCCGGAGTAATGGTTCTAGAACCCTCCAACTGCACCTTCAATCTCTTTATGAGCCACGTCACCACCGTCACCTCCTGCAACGGCGGCGATCAAGGCTTCTTGAATAATGTTTTCGCGTGGTGGCACCGGCTGCCCGAGTCGGTCAGCATGCTGAAATACTCCTGGAACGGGGACGACGGCGCGGGCGGGACGGCGCAGCGGGCGGCGAAGCGGGCGGCGCAGCAGGCGGCGCAGCGGGCGATGCTGGACTTGGTGTTTTCAGCTGACCCACCGCGGGTGCATGCGATTCACTACCTGGGGCGCAAGCCGTGGCAGTGCTACCGCGACTTTGACTGCACGTGGCTGTACCCGTGGGACCACCAGTACGTCAGCGACGCCGCCCATGCCCGCTGGTGGGCCATGCACGACCAAATGCGGCCATCTCTGCAGGAATACTGCTGGCTGCCCAACAGGTGCGTCCTGGGCTCCCACTGCTGTGTGTGGGCGCGTGTGGATGGGTGAAAATGGGTGAAAATGGGTGGAAATGGGTGGGAATGCAGGTGAGCCGGCGCGGGTGCATGCGATTCACTACCTGGGGCGGAAGCTGTGGCAGTGCTACCGCGACTTTGACTGCACGTGGCTGTACCCGTGGGACCACCAGTACGTCAGCGACGCCGCCCATGCACGCTGGTGGGCACAGCACGACCTCATGCGCCCTTCTTTGCAAGAATACTGCTGGCTTCCCAACAGGTGCGTGCTGTGTGGACGCGTGGGGATGGGTAAAAATGGGTGCAGATGGGTGGAGGTGGGTGGAGTTGGGTAGAGATGGGGGGAGTTGGGTGGGGATGGGTGGGGACCAGTGGCTGCACCATTGACTTACAAGTCCTCCCGTCCCTTCATTCCTTTGCCCATCAGATGGAAGGCGGAGATGGAGTAACGCAGGCGGGTGCTGAAGAAAGTGAAGGCTCCTAAAGCGTTTTGGAACTTCAACATCACAGACCCGAGGAGGGACCTGTGTGTGAAGGGGCAGACCACATGCAACTGAAAGTTCCCCTCTTTCCCCCTCTTCTTCCTCTCCCCCTCCCCGCGCCCCCCCCCCCCCCCCCCCCCCCCACCCTGCTTCCTTATCTCCTCAACCGTCAGGTGGAAGGCAGAGATGGAGTATCGCAGGCGAGTGCTGAAGAAAGAGAAGGCTCCTAAAGCGTTTTGGAACTTCAACATCACAGACCCGAGGAGGGACCTGTGTGTGAAGGGGCAGACCACGTGCAACTGGCGAGGGTACCTAAGACACTGGAATAAATGATTGCAGGATGGAACTGGAAAGCTCCCTACTGGTCCCAGTTCTCCTTCCCCCCCTGCTCCACTATGGAGGGTTACCTGAAACACTAGAAGTCTGGGATGGGAATGACTAGGCATTTGAGGTAGGCAGGCAGGCACTCTGCTACTATGTGTACAGTGCAGTGTGCTTCTATCTAGCAGTTTTTGTAAATCTAGCCTGAAAAACGTTAACTCCAGTTTAAAGTGTTGACAGGAAGCCTGCTAGATGGGAAGGCATTTGGCATGGTGCAGGAGGATGGTACCATAAAAACGTCAGCAGTGACACGACACCTAGACAACAATGCACCATATGGTTTAAGTAACTTCCAGTGCATCCAGTGGGTAACATTCAATGCATACCTAGTGCAACCCCCCATCGGCAATGTCTTGGTGAAGGGAGAACAAAGCAAGAGAGGTCATTGGTCCTAGAACTTTGTCAAGTGTTGCTTCAAAGCATGCGAGGGGGGGCCGCACAACCTACATCAGGCATCATAATTACACCAGCTACTGCTTAATAAATCCGGTTATAGTCCGAATGGGCTTGCAAGTGTTTCCCGTTCACAGCTTGATGGGGCAGGCGGTGGGTGCAGGACAGCTTCAAACTGACAGACCTCTTCAAAGCTACTGACCCCAGTGAACCACCGAACTGAACCCACCGAACCTACTGGCACTGACCCCACCAAACCCACTGACCCAACCAACCAAACCTACTGACCTCCCCGAACCCACTGACCCCACCAAACCTACTGACCTCGCAGCAGCTACTCTAATTAGTGGCAGCAAGTCACGAGAGCAATCTGCAAGCGGCGCTTGGCTTGGCAGGGCTGGCAGAGGCTGCAACAACATTCATACTGCCCAGCCCAGGGATAGTAGTGGTACCTCCCGTTAGAGCACCTCCAGACCTCGTAACCGGAGCAGCTGCATTCAAACTGCCTCGAGATTACCGCTTATCGCTCGCTGCCTCGCAACAACACCTACTACCCTACTGCCCTTTCTGCAACCCTTCTACGCTGCAGAGAGGAGCTCCGATCTTCTATGCAGGTCGCTGCAACCACTCTAGTGAACTGGCAGCAGCTCATCTACTAAGGGTAGATTGTCTTTTACCCAGAGGGATTAGCACACGCCAGAACAGAACCTTGCAGCAGCTGCTCTAAACAGCTCGCTGCAGCTGCCGCTACTCTATTGAACAAGCGCGGCTCATCTACTGAGAGTAGCTTGTCTTTTACCCAGCGCGCCTGACGGTGGGGAGGCGTCCTGCGGACGTTTCTGCAAGTGGTTCTTGACTGGGGCGGCAGCGGGGGCGGGGCGAGGGGAGGAGAAGGAGAACTGGCGCGACGTAATGCCCTGCATGCGGTACTTGGGTGGTCTGCTAGGAACCTGCAGGTGGAGGGGTGGATAGGGGTGAAGGTGGATATGAAAGGGCGTAGACGAAAAGAAGTCAGTGGGTGGAAAGAACATTTGCCTGACCAGATGAGAGAGAGAGGGGGTGGGTGGGGGGGACAGAGCAAGGAGGGGAGGGGGAGATGGAGGAGATGGATGAGTGCGAGTGCGGATAGTAAGAAGTTTCGCAAAACAAAAGAGGAGAATGCATTGCTAGATTGGCTTTTGATGGATCATGAAAACGCAATGTACTAAAACCCGTCCACAATGAGGTAGTTACGTCCTGACCTTGCCCATCACGCTGCTGCTATCCAGCTCACCTTTCAACGTCATTGACTGATCTCAACGACTTGCCACAGGGCGAATGGTAGTACCTGGTAAAAGAATAATAATAAAAAAGGTTATAAAAGAAAGAAAGAAAGAAAGAAAGGAAAACGCAAAAAGAGAGGGAGAGACAGGAGAGAGTCAAGGGGGAAGAGAGGTAAGCGCCATTCACTTAACGTTCCAGCCAGCAAGGACACAAGCAGACGAGATAAGAATAAGCAGAACAAAGACAAGAAAAGCAATGGGAAGAGGGGAAAGGAGGGAGGAACATAACGCCTACTTACCAGAAGCATTACAGTAAGCGAGAAATTGACATGTTTCCAAGTCCGCGCGCCTCTCGCAACATTTTGCAAAGATACATGAGGAGAACACGGCAGCCAGGTCACAAGGCTACACCCTAAAATGTTATTTATGTTTTTTTGCTGCCTTTTCCCCTCCTAATAGCGTGTGATACTTACGAATCCGCCAAAACTTACACGTCCGAAAACTTCGCGGAAGAGCCTCCGCGGACCACGATGCGCCGCCGCCACCCGGGGGGCGGCTGCGGAATATCCGGGCGGTCGAGCGCCCACATGTACGTGCCGTCCTGCACCAAATCCGGCTCGTCCGCGCACGAGCACGACGGCTTCCATCTCCGCGCGTGCGCGCACGTGAACGGCTCGATCGACACGCGCGCGCGGATGCTCTCGTACTCGTCGAGCGTCGGAACCTTGCGCCATTTGTAGCAGAGCGCGCATTGCACGGTGAACGCGACCAGGGTTGCCGTCGCGCGCTTGTTCGAGTCGGGCGGGGTGGCTGCAGCGGCGTTGGCGGCGGCGGCGGCGCGCGGCTTGTTCGAGTCCGGCGGAGTCGCTGCTACGGCTGGTGACTCGTCGGCCGCGCCGCCTTCTGCGGCGGTGGTCGATTTTGCGACTGGAGTTGCGAGTGGCGTTTCGCCCGATTCTGTGGTCGCCATTTCGAGATAGGAGCAATCCTGGCCGTTAAAAAAAATAGAAAAAATCCTCCTTGTAAAACGGCTGTTTATCGACTCTCAAGTCCCTGGTTGCGAATAAAACGTGTAATCGGCAGGAGACTAACGAAAGTGGTAATCGCAGCGTTACGGGGGCCGCGATGTGCGGTGCTAACGAAAACTCGAAGCTCAACGTGGCGACGCTAAATACAAATACAACGACGTGGCTCGCGCCGCCCTCGCGCAAATACACGATATAGTCTCTCCTACAAAATAGCTCCTATGATCAAGTCAGGGAATGCGCACCGCACCGATACTTCGCGTCAGGGAATGCTGGGCGAGGAGCGAACCTACGAGCGCGAGCAAACCAGGAAAGAAAAGTAGGAAAGATGCTTGGAGCACATAACCTAGACTATCAGGGCGATGTCGGGTTGTATAACTTTGTGTCTGCTCTCCGCGGTCAACTTCGTTACGTCACGGTGCAAACGCCACCCGTCGAGAACCGCCTTTCACCGTGTGAAACCGTCCTGAGCCACGACACGAGAACTGTAAATGTGCAAAGAGCGTGGAACCTGACAGGACGCTGGCGCAGCACAGGAACTGATCCAAAGGAGTGCCGAACCTCCATGGATGAAACGTTCGTCAAACCCTCTCCCGTAAAACGCGCCCCAACATAAATTAGGCTTCTTATAACGCGGTTCAACAAGGTAAACCATGCTTGAGAGCGGTTGTAAACTTTCAACTTGCTAAATGGAGGTGGGTACGAATGCATAAACATGACGTACCCACCCTAAATTTCAAAAAACAATGCCAGCACCTGCTTGCTAGAATCAATAACTAGTCATATTCTTTGCAGGCTGTAACAGAAAACAAGAGACAGAATCCAGTTATCATCTCACATCATGTTACGAATAGTAACATTTGATATTACTGTGCACTCCTCACCGCAGCAAAGAGAAGCACGCAGTAACGGGAATGAACGCGAACCGTCAGACGGTTGGAATTGACTCGAAGCGACGGACAGTTGGAACGCATCTGGACCGTCGGAAGCAGACGGCATCGGGCAGCTACAGGCAGGATGGTTTTGGCGGGAACAGTTACGAAACTGTACGCGCCGCACGGTTGGGAGTGAATTTGAATAAGGGAATGTACCCCTTAGAGTACATGGCTAGATAGGTCGTTTCGTATTCCCTTGTACTCATATTTATATTCTCTGTTTTGCATGTTTTAATCATCTCAAGCATTTACATTCACTCTGCTATTGAGGTCAAGGGCCCACCAACTATTTCACTGCGTGCGAACCTTCCTGGGTAGATCCCGGGCTACGATCAACTTCTGATCGCAGCATGGTATGAGAGCGGCTCAGGAATCCTTCGCACTGCCACTCCCGAAAATTGCGACATTCGGAAAGTGGCGTCCGGCACACGCTCACGAGTGAAGATGGCCGGAGGATCTGGTGGTCAGACTAATCTGACGGCTGAAGCGCAACCCAACCCGGCTGCGACAAGCGAGAACACGACGACAATCAACTCCGAAGTTCTCGCACAACTTC